CCCCCTGTCTCATAGTTAAAAAGTACGGTTAAAATTTGAGTTAAAATGTCAATTCTTTTTCTCCAAGTATATAGTTCAAAAATAACATTTCTTTCTAACATATGGGGTTTATCTGTATGTTAATCAAAGCACAGGGTTTCTAGTTGACTATATGTTTCTCTTTTAAAGTTTGGTAAAGGGACGCTAGGGTGGCTCAGTGGTTGAGCGTCTGCCTTCAGCCCAGTACATGACCCCACAGTCCCGGGATAGAGTCCCCCATTGGGCTCAATGCAGGGAGCCTGCTTCTCCCTCTGCCTGTGTCTCTGCCTCTCTCTCTCTCTTTTATTTATTCTCTCAAGAATAAATAAAATCTTAAAAAAAAAAGTTTGGTAAACTGAATATTGCAGAAAAGCAATGGGCTTTTGGTAATTCATTAATATTCTTCCATCATAGCCACAGGAGATGAGAGATTGCCCCCCTCAGCAATGGGAGCCAGCACGGCTCTGCTGTTCTCTTTGAGAGCAAAGGCCCTGCAACATGAACTAGGAAAACAGAATCAGAATTAGACCACAACATGTACAGAAGGGAGTTAGTCTTTAAAAAGCACGAGGATTTTTCTGTTCTTTTACAGGGTAGGATTTTCTATTGTTTCTAACATTTTATCCATATGTACATAACCAAAAAAAGGAAGGATTTATAAAATACATAATACTGCATGTTTCTTTTTTTCTCACAATTAGCTAGGAATGGTTCTATCTAGGATTTCAATGAGAGCAGTCTGCATTCTCTATTAAACAGTCCATCAAAAAACAAAAACAAAAACAGTCCACCACAAATGAGCAGCCCATAATCATTAATTTAAAAAATTCCTCCGAGAGTCTCCCTGTGGGTCACTTGTCACATAAAGGGTGGCATGACCATACAGGTATGGGAGAAGCAAAATGGGAGTCGGGAGACCTGGGTGATCGTTTTAGCTTTTCTAGTACTGGTGAGATCTCAGGTAAGTTGTATCATCTCTCTAAACCTTATTTTTATTGGATAGCATACTGAAAGCACTGGATTGAATACTGTTGAAGATGCTCATCTCTAAAATTCTTTGACATTATTAAATGTTTATTAAATGCAAATCATGTGACAGGTGTTATGAATAAATATGAATAAATGCATAATACATGACCCAGGCACTCAGGGAGCTTAATATTTAAATAGGCTATTAATTTCTAGAAGGTACAAAATTCTTCATGGAAATGATTTCATTCAATATACTTTTAAAATCTGAAAGTACACTGACAATTGAGTTGGCAGCTTTTATGTCCTTTGAATAGGCTGTTTTATGCTTAATATTCTCTTGATCTGTAGCTGTGTGGGTGCAAGATGGCACAGGGGTAGGAGCAGAGCTCTTGGGGTCAGTGAGACCTAGGTCTGAAGCTCACCTTTTCCAATGACCAGTATTTCTGTGGACAAGAGACAGAACCTCTTTCAGATTCATTTTATAAACTTCTATTATCATTTTATAATCATTTTATAAGATAAAAGAGAAAATCCTCTCTTTAACCCTGATTCTATTCCCCTGAGATAACTGGGAAAGAACTTATGTTCAAGTTTTAGATGGGCACTCCCCACAGTTTAAGTTCTGTAAGGAATGAATAAAATAAAATTGGTTAAAAACCATGTTTACAGTCATTTGCCATATGTTTTAAGGAGCTCTTCGGCATCTGTGGGGCATGCTCATACATTTCCACCTCTGTCCTTTTGCCTTTCCTCAAAATTATTCAAATGGGAGATGCAAATAAAACTCTTCCTGGCATCCTTTCTGAGCACCCAGCTGTGACTCACCTCCCCATCTTCTGACTGTCCCTACCTTTTACTCTCCTTCTCTTTTTGCATCATCAGATCTTATCCTTCCTTCAGATTGCAAGTACCTTGGAGACAGAATCTTTGTCTGATGCAACTTTGTAACTAAATATAATACCCAATATTGTATCTTCCATATATTAACTACTCAATAAAAGCTTGCTTAGTTAATAAACATAGTTTAAAATCTAGTAAAATAGCTAAACACATTAGAAAACTGGCATTATTTTTATTTCAAAGATGTAAAATTCTCAGTCCTATTTCTAAAATAAAGGCATTTTAATTCTGGAAAAATGCCCTATCAATTAAGCCATCTATAGTTTCTCAGGAGACCTCTCAGGAATAATCTCTGACAGAGGTTGTCAATACATGGGAGAGAGAGGAAGAAAGAAACTCTGCTATCATATGTGTTTTACAGAACTAGGTAGCAGTCTGAGTTAGCTCCCCCTTCAATCCCCTTTTTCATAAACTCACAAGAACAGTATTAAAGAGGGAAGGACTGTGTATGTTTTTTCTTTTCCTCCCCCCCCCCTTTTTTTAAGACTGGATTTATTTATTTGAGAGAGAGAACACAAAAGAGTGAGTGAGTGAGCGAATGTATGGGGAGAGGAGGGGCAGAAAGAGAGCGAGAAGCAGACTCCCCACCCAGCAGGGAGCCTGACTCAGGACTCAATCCCAGGACCTTGGGATCATGACTTGAGCTGAGGGCAGATGCTTACTCAACTGAGCCACTCAGGTGCCCCTGTTTTTTCTTTTCCAGTTAACATGAACTGAAATTTTAAAAAGCACAAGCCTAACATAAAAGCTTCATAAAGCGGGCCTAACGCAGCAGTTAGAGGCAAGGTTGCTGAGCACTGTTGTCACATACAGAGTAAATCAGGCACAAAGGGGAGGCACAGTAGGCACCATCATGTGGGTAGGAGGCACACATCCCTGCTCTGTTTCACCCTGTCTCAGTCCTTCTACAGCCTGTACCAATGGTGTCACAGATGTAACAGGCCATTTTCAATCTACATCTTGTTATAGATTAATAAGCAAACATTTTCTTGCTTATTATGCAATTTATCATGATGAAAATTACATTGGACTCCTCAAGGCTACATGCTGATACATTCATTTATTTAGAGCTGTGTATAGAGTTATACTAATCTTCATGACAGAAAAGGATGTAATAGCAGGATTTAAATTATCTACTGAAGAACTAAAGTGTCTATGGACATACTACATGTAGATAAAGCACAGTATATCTTTATGTTTGCTGATATAAGCTTCATGTAAACTGATTTAAAAACAAAATAAAACAAAATATTAAATACTATGTCTAAATAAAGCCTATCACTTCTCCTAGGCAACAAAACAAGACTGCATACTATTGAAATGGTGTTTAGATCAGCTTTGAAAATAGGCTATAAAATTAGGTCAAAACAAAACTGGAAGGTATACAGGCAGTTGCAGCCAACATGAGGGCAGAGGGATGAAAATATGTTCTAGGCTTTGCACAAAGGCCAGTTGCCTCTTACTATTGCTTCAAACTCATGGGCTCAGTTCCCTCCGAATTCTTAAAGTCAATCAAGAAAGAACCTTCAGGCCTTCTGCATCCAAAAACTATCCAGGCTGCCATTATGTCAAACTATTCATTCTAGAACCGGGCAGCTCTTGATTTGCTGACTCTGAAAAAATGACAATGGCATCACCACTTTTACTACCACCTACAGGGAATTCCCATTTAATCTTTTAGTATGTGCTAAGTATTCTTCCAAGTGCTTTGCAAACAGAAACACATTTAATATCAACTTTATGAGGTAGGTATTTAATTAGCCCCAACTTGTATATGGAACTGAGGTAAGAGGTGAAATGACTTGCTGAAAAGCAAACAGCTAGGAAGACAAAGAGTAAATGTTTAGGAAATGTGGCAGTATGATAGGAGGTAGGGGGCGGGCAGCTGCCTAAATTGGAAATAAATAACACCTTCTACCAATCCATCTTGGGACTTCGGGCTGAGAATGTCCAATCTGTAGACAAAGCCACAGCATCCCAGTCTAGCCTTTTAATAGCTTCTTTGATCTCTACTCCCTGAGCCTAGAGCCATGATGGATCATAAGAGAACGAAGGGATATGAGAAAGACAACCATGAAGAAAAGGGCAGAGAATTCTAGTTTTTTTCAAGGTCAACAAAGATAAGATGAAATGCCATTCATTGAGAAAATCAGAGGTGATAACATTTACATTTAGAGAGGCACCATGGGCCAATTCAAAGATTCCTAACACTAGGATGGCGATACTGAAAAAAACAAAACAGAGGCCCTGAGTGACTCAGTTGGCTAGGCGTCTGACTCTTGATTTTGGTTCAGGTCATGACCTCACAGTAGGGGGACTGAACACTGCATTTTGGCTCTGTGTTCACCACAGAGTCTGCTTGTCCCTCTTTCTCTGTTTCTCCCCCTGTTCTTTCTTTCTCTAAAATAAATAAAATCTTTTAAAAAATAAAATCGCAAAATTAAAATAAACAAAAACCTTCCTCCAAGAATTAGGAGGCTGAGTTCTCAAGTCAACATGAACCTCTATCATCACACCCCCAATTGCCTTCCCATCATTCTTGGCCACTTGGCTACCAAGGGCTTCCCACTTACTTCATTTCAGCAGCTCCCTCAGCTCATCTGCCTTTCCCTCTACTCTCATCACTGCTTCTCTGGATCTCCGCAATCTCCTACAGCTGGTTCTTGGCTGTGTGCAAGTGAAACCTCAATAAATTAAATTTAAAAATTACTATGAGTGTGAAGGAATAATTCCCCAAACTATCTGTCATGTATTCTATGAGTAAATGTTTGAGCAGGTATATACACAACTTTCCTTGTAAGTGATATGTTTACACTATTATTAGATAATAATATGTCAAGGCACAATAAGCACAATTTAGAAACTATGTCACAGATCAGCCATTCACTGGCTTAATGCTAAATCTCAAGTGTGCCCAAATTATAGAAATAGATTTCCCTTTCCTTATCTATATCCAAAATTTCATATATTGAGATATTTGGGGTTTCATTATCTACTAAAAACACATAATCTATCAAGGGCAATCAATGACCTTAAACAAAAATAAACAAAATACCAACTGACAGAACACAAACAAAATCCCCACAAATTAACTGGAATTGAGCACGTACTTGGCGAGCTGTTTCTCGGCATCAGCACAAAGTTCAAGAAGCCCCATGAGGACAGCAGACACATCCATGTAAGGCTCCCAGACCGTGAAACCACGTCCAATTAGATCAATGGCTGTTCTTCGGATTGTACTGTGTGGAGGAAGTTTGGGGCTGGGGGGCTGCAGCAGAAGAAATGTCAGTGCCTTACCTAAAATTACAAAATAAGAAGCAAAGCAATAAAGTAATTTTACTTTTGTGATGTTTTTTTCGAAGACATTTTCAAAGTATAAATTACTTTTGATTTTTTTTCTTTAACTAAAAGGGGGTTTTGAGCAGTAAGACTATACAAGATCTCAAGTTTACAGTTTGCTCAGCCACATACTTTAAAGAGATAAGTTAGGTTACAATATTTTATACCATATTCTAAAATGCTTTAATTTCATAAGAATTATGTATAAATAAGTATATATAATTTCAAAATATATCAGTGATCCTAAATTCCAAGCAAGGTGTCTCTTCCTACTCAGCATTCTGTAAAATGGAGATGGTTTCAAATAATGTTATATTTGTTATATCCCAACAGGGATCAGGGATGAAGGCACAGATATAGTTTTAAAAAGTTTCCCCCACAAGCATCTATGTTTCTCCATATTCTGCTACGCTGATCCAGTACAATGATGTGAAGTATGTGGTAAATTCTTCACACAAGTTTGGTAAAGAAATGAAAAGACAGTTTGATATTACTTTTAAATCTGATGAAATCATCTAGATTTTAAGTATCATGTATTTCTTTATGTCGAAGATAATGCTAACAATTTGTATACATAAGCCTAATGGCTGTCAAGCTGTAAAAGCTCACCTATTTCAAAAGGCATTTTGACATTTAGAAAACAGGGACTGTGAAGAACAAATATCAATTTAGAAGAGGCTGTTTGTTTCTTGAGGGGAAGAAACAAAACTGTTTACACATCACAGAACAGTATAGCGGACTGCTTAAGGGATACACAGGCTTCAGATTTAAGACAGGGAAGTAACCAGTTTCATAACTTAGTAGGGGAGGCCGAAGAAGGTATCATGAGCTTCAGTTTCCTTGTCTGTAAAATGAGAAAACAGCTCACTCTCACAGAGCAAGAGTGTTGGGATGATGCAGACAAAGTGCACTGCCATGTGCCTAGCACCCGGGAGGGCTCCTCAAACGGCAGTCACGAAAAGCATGTTGAACTTGCCTGTTTTCAAAATTGAGAACGTGGCATATAAACTTTAATGCAGTTAACAAATAAAGGCATTTACTCATTTTTATGTTCTAGCCAATTGTTAAACGAGAATGGATTGAACTGGAGGTGAAAAGACATGAAGGATGCTGTAAAGCCCAGACTCTTGTCTGCCAATGCACTGTTTGTTCGTGGTTCAGAATACCTGCTGCTGTAGAACCCTTGAAAAATCTGTTGAAAACCATTGGTCTTTTCCCCAGGAAACTACATATAATACATGTACATATCCATCAAATGACACACACACAAAAATTTCCAGGAGGCCACGGTTCTTGGGTTAACAAGTCTTGCAGGAAGCTGAAAAGGTATGTATACGTGGAAAGCCTCCTGGAGGAGACATCTTGATATTCATCACTTCATTCATACACGTATTTGAAAATTTTACTCTCCCACTTAGCCATGTCCTACATTAGCTTCAAGTTTTGTGGATCATAAAAATATAAACCCCAAAAATCGTGACCCACTGTTTTCTATTTTCTGCTAGCACTTACTCATCCCTTACCACACGATATTTTTAAATATAAGCCTTTCTATGGATTTCCCTTTTCCTCATCAAGTTTGTTGCTCCTGGAGGGTAGGAACTATGGTGCATGTAACTTTACATCTCCCAGATCACCAAGCACAGCACTCTGCACACATTACAGACCTAAGATGGAAATACATCTGCCTTTACTGCATGTACATCTCTAATGCAGTTCCCTGCTCCAGTTTGTCAGAATGGTATTTCAAAATGTCAAGAGATCCACCACTTTTCTGTCATTCTTTACTTCTAGGAAGTAAGAGCTGCAGAGAAAACACCAGTGCTGCTCTCTGCAGACATCCTGAAGCACAAGCAGCAATGGCTCCAGTTTAAGGGACAGGGCTCCCTGAAGCTCTGTCCTTGGGAAGCAGTTTTGTGAAGGGGCAAAGGTTTCCTAAGTACAATGTTTTATAGCATTTCAATCATCATTTCCCTTAACTGCACTCCACTATTCCTGTATTCATTACAGGCAGGAGCATTCTGGCAATCCCAGGGAGGGCTGATTTCTTGCAGCCTCTGTGTGGGAACTCTGGAGGCAGCTTCCTCACCACTCTGACAATTTTATCTTGAAAGCAAAAGTAAACCGTTAAGTGGCCAGTTTCTTGATGTTTTCCATCATTTTTCTAACAAAGTAGGAAGGACAGCATAGGGGATGTGATCACTCACCTTGCAACGAAATGACAGAAAAGGAAGACTCAGTAGGCAGACTTCAAAAGACCCCTGGCCTTGCAATGGTCCTCAGGGTATCTTCTGCTCCCCTGCAAAGTATGATCTACCCTCACAGTGAGGATGCCACCCAGCTCAGCAGGAAATGCAGGTTCCCTCTGGCATGCCATCGCCTCTCTTAAATCGCCTCTCTTAAATCACTTTCTATTTCATTCAGTGATTTTATAAGTAAAATTCTCCTATAGCACCTCTCCTTCTTTAGTTCAGATCACAGTCTCTGGGTAACATACAGTAAAAACCCCCACAGTTCTGGCAGGTGATGTAGGGGGCACCAAGAAAAGGCAAGAGAGAAGAATGGTCTGTTTAACACACACATTTTAAATCCACTAACTAGAGTCTGATTATTTTTCACTGGTCTGTTTTGGAATTATAAAGACAGAAGAATGCTATAATTCCACACCTGACAACTTATTCCAAGCAAAATGTGTAAATAAGAGAAGATGAAGAGGCTTTTTAAGTAAACATTTTGATTTCTAGCCTTGTTGATTAGTAAGATGCTTATGACTTTAATGCTACCAGGAATAATGACACTGATGTTCTGGAGGAGCACGCTCGGATGCCTAAGGGTTCAAACTTCCTAATCACAGATTCCTTCTGATGATATAAAGGAATGAGCCTTTAAGAAATAGTTGTTACAATAATAAAAAGGGATAGGTAAATTTAAGATTCCTTTTTTGAATACAGTATATTCTCTACTTCAGGGTTTATCTGACTTATGATTCCATAACAGATAGCTGCTCTGCAACATGGACCAAGGTGATAAAAAAAAAAAAAAAAGCTAAAATTAAGATACCTACGTACCTTCTCTTTTGCTAGAAAAAGTCTCATGACAATTTTATGAATTTTCTCTCTCAGAATTTTCCTTAAACCTTTGGTACCCAATAATAGTTATATTTTAATCTGTGCAAGATGAAATCTAATTTTGTACCAAAATAAATAGTAAGCAAGGCACAGAATGATGCTCTCATCTGACACCATGACTGATTGTATCATAAAAGGCTCCCTAGTAGCAGTATGAAAAAGTTCAACAAACTGGACTGACATTCTTCAAAGTCTTCCACAATTTGGTTCCAACCTAGCCATCCAAAGATTCCTGTGATAACTATATATAAAATAAATATAATAAAAAGTTCAAGGACACGGATTCTAGTTCAGGAGATGGTTGAGCAAACAGGTCATTTCAATATATTCCGAGTATTGTTAGAGCATTTAAAAGCATAAGGTATCCAGAGAGAACTTAATAGGGGCACTTAACTCCACCAGAGAGTATGAGAAGGCTTCCAGGGAAAGGTGACTTCTATACCCAAACCTAAAGAGTAAGTAGGAGTCAACTACTCAAAGGAGAGGACTATGGAAAGAAAGCATTCCAGACAGAGAAAAGAGTATGTCTCATGATGAGGAAATGAGAAAGAACAGTGTCAGATCAAGGGATTACACATAGCTCAACATGGCTGGCGATCTTGTTGGGGAAAAAAGAAGAGGTTGATGTGATGGGCAAGGGAGAAAAGAGGACAAGTTGGATGAACCAGAACAGTGAGACATGAGGCAGGACAGGTTACTAGAGCCCATTCACAAAGGGCCTCATATGTCATGCCAGAAGTTTGTTTATTCTGGTGACAATGGGGAACTACTGAAAGTTTTAAGCAAAGGAGGTTTGATTAGATTTTCATTTAGAAAGATCAACACTTGGGTTGTCTTATGCTAGAAAGGGGTAAGACCTATTACCTGTTTAATTCTGATCTATTCATCCCCAGCCAAATGGATTAATTAGAATCCTAGAATTTTCAGACTGAAAGGACTTTAGAACAATAGCATCCATTCCTGTGCTTCACATGAGATAACTGAGAACTGTAGAAGGAAGGGGTGAGCTGCAGGCCTGGGAAAGGAGTCCAGGCTTCTGTGGCCCAGGCCATGTGTTACAGGGCCAGTACAGGTCTGAACACAACTTGCCTCTTTATTCATGACACTTTATTCATGACACTCTACCCAACTAGGGATTCAAAACTATAACCTTTATGATCAATCTCTTCCTCCTTCTGAATTAAGGCATGATTTCAACTGCAGTTATTAGTGTCTCCCGCAAACAGAAGATTAAATGAATTAAATGCTTCATCTTTTCTTGTATAATGAAAAAGTTGCCGTCACTGGATCGACATCTAAATATAACCATAGTAAGATCCTCGCAATCATCTTGGCTCTAACTTAGTTGCACCGTGGTCACAAAACAGTCTACTGCACATCTAGCACTGCACTCACCTTGCAGGCAGGAAGTGGTAGAAAGCTGACGGTATAGAATTCAGCATTATTCAAGTAATTCTGGGGCCATATTCAAAGTCCATTTATCAAATTACTAGTGTTTCTCACCCATGAGATAAGTAATACATAGTGTGGCAGCTTTATAGTGGGAATCTAGCATGTAGCACACCACCACCACCGTACGGATGTCTAGCCAAAAGTATAAATGAACTACCAAAAATGCACACATGCTCAGAACAGTAGATAACAAATCAAAAAACAACAAAACGCTTTGAAAAGCAGATAGCACTAAAATCTAGCATTGGATAAATCACAATTAACTTAGGCCCTCTGGCTGTTTGAATTCTGTTGTCGTGAGTCAAGAGTAATAACAAAAGCTCATATATTAGTGCCATTTTATCTCAAGCTTTTTAACTCAAGCAATTTTTTGAAAAC